CTGCACCTATCCCCAGGTGAGGCGTCACGCGGCAGAGGCAGAGCGCCAGCTGAGTCCAGCTAAGTTTACTGGGGGTTAGTACGGAATAAGAGAAAATTTCATATAGGGAGCAATTCTATAGGGGTCATATTCCCTCGGTCCCTATTAAGAAGCAGTAAGTAGGATTTAGGTCACATTTCATCAAAGATATAAAGAAGTAGCTCTGCCAAGGCAGGCTTTGGATCCTTCATGCCTCCCTTTGCTTTCGCCATGCCTTCCTGTCGCAACGAGACACGACAAAAGTATGTTCCCCAGACATACCTCGGACGCAAATGTTTTATAGCAACAATGGACAAGACAATGGAAACTGCTGTATTTCTCAACAGCAAAGTAACAATAAAAGTTACTGCTGTAATTATGGAATTTGTGTTGAGGGAGGCGCCATCCATCCTCAATCCTCAGCTCTTAGCGCTAAGATGCATCCTGCCAAAACATCCGCAGCGACTACTGCTAACCTTTCGAAACCCAGAGTGCCCTCCTGGAGGACGATTCATGCTAGGAATGCTTCCTTAATTTGGAAGGAATATCACTTCCTCAGAAAGGTGAACATCCCAAGCCCAGCACGAATTGACGTTCGGGGGTGGGGGGTATATTGGTGTTATTTGAGATCATGGACAAGAAAATGGAAACTACTATATTCTTAGGGGTTACAAAGGGGTTATATAGGGATAATGCAAAAGAACATGGAAACTACTATTCATGCTTCACATGACAACCTGATGAGTTTTCGGCCCTAAATTTTGAACCCTAAACCTTAAACTCTAAACCCTAAATCCTAAACCCTAAACCCTAAATCCTAAACTGCATTGCAGTAGGTGGAGCTGAGCCTTTCCGACCTCCGCAGCCTTCGACCCCTGGCCCAGGCGCAGCGGATCAGTTGCACACTAACCTTCCTATACACATATATACACATATAGTCCCCCTTAAGTAGATAGCATATGGGGTATATGGGGATCTTATTATATATACCCAAAGCCATATTCTATCTACTTAAGGGGGTCTATGTATACATATATTTCTATATAGCTTTCATTGTCCATGTGCTTCTCCATTATTGCTGTAAGACACCCTGTACAACCCTGCGTGATTCTTGTAATCTTATTATGATATAGTAGTTTCCATTTTTCACATAATTCCTATATGATCCCATACATACCCTGTATAATACCTTTCGTATCTGCTGAAAACAGCGTTCCCACCTACTTGTGAACAGCGGAGTCGCTTGAAGAACAAGCCTTCAGAAGAGGGCCGCGATGTTTTGCACATGAGCTATAGTCTAAACTGCTTTAAGGGGGGGTTGTGTAGGGGTGTATTATAGGGGTTGTTAAAGGGGGATGCTAGGAGTTCGGACTGTAGCTTACATAGCTTTCAATTTCATGGGTGAGTGCCGTGAGACCTATTCAGCAAGCTTTGTGTGGGCATTTCGCAGAAATTAAGGTTGGAATATGTTGCGATCGAAATTCCAGGGCCTATTATGCTGCGCAAACAGGGTGTTTCGAAGGCCTTGAACCCCCAAACCCTAAACCTCTAAACCCTAAACCTCTAAACCCTAAACCCTAAACCCCTAAACCCCTAAGCATGGCACAACTAGTTGGGAAGACTCAGCTCACTAGAGCTTCGAAACCGAATTCAACGCCAGGGTGCTTGGAGGGTCAGGTGGACTTAGCAACTAGGTTAACAACCCCTATAACTGAAATAGTAATCCTAGTTATCCTGGTTCTTAACCTACTTACTAAGTCCCCCTGACCCTCCAAGTGGTGCGAGATGCTGGAATGTGTCTTGTCCTTTTTCGCACCAGTTGGGAGTTTCTCCAAGTCGAAGATCCAGTTTAGGGTTTAGGGAACCCTAAACCCCTAAACCTTCTGTAGTAGAGGGGAGGTACGGATTTTAATCTTGCGAATACGTGGCCTTTGGTTAGCTGGGAATGAAGAAATGGAGAAGAAAATGGAAGCTACCATAATGGGTTGCGTAGGGACTACTATAAGGATCCATTCCTTCATTCCTATCTAACCAGACTATATAAACACCAGTTTCCATTTCATTTGCAGTTTCCATTGATTATCCATGATTGGGGTTATATCCCTATATAACCTAGCCCTAAAGCCCAATATCAATCCTATATAACCATCCTAAACCCTGACCAAAGTCCAGTTCCTCGACTCTGCTTCTCTGGCAGGTGGACGCTAAATTCATTGTGGCCTTTCAGGAGCTTGACCCCCTGGAAGGCTTGCAAGGCTAGGTTTTTAGGGTTTAAGGTTTGGGGTTTGGGTTCAGGGTTTGAGGTATAGGGTTGAGGGTTTAGGGGCTCGCAAGAATAGGTTCTATAGGGGTTATATACGGGGTATGTAGGAGTTATACGGGGGTATATAGGGGTTATATGGGGATAATGAAATGGAAGCTACTATGCTGGGCTATATAGGGATCATAGGGTGTTTCTCGAGATAGAGGACTCCTAGAAGCACCAGGGATCTACAGGGAACGTATGAGGATTATGCGTTCCCCCTCACAGGGTGTGTAGGAACATTGTAGGGGATACATGTAAGAATATGAGAATATGGTGCCGAACGCTCCCGCTGCTTGTCTGCAAAGATTTCGTCATAGCACCATAAGCCCAATCGGCATATTCTGTTATGAAAAGCTATGCCCAGTTAGGCAGAAATTTCAACAGCAGCTGTTCACACCTCCGCGACAGAAGCCGAGCATAGGGGGCATAGCATTCGGGGGCCGTGCAAACTCCCAAATACTTGAAACCCTCCCTAAACCCTGAACCTAAACCGCATAGATATCCCTGTAACCCCTTCGAAGGAGCCCAGTTATCAGTTGTTAAACGGGAACCCATAATTCGTCAAAACCGCATGCGATGCTGAATGGAGGCGATTCGGCCGCGCGCTTGCTGATAATTGCCAGGCACCCAGGATGTCAACGTCCTGATCCTCCAATTCTGAATAGGGGGCGGTGCGATACATGTATGTGTGTAGATACATGTATATATGATTACATGTATACATGTGCGCATGCAATGCACATGTGCATATGTTTAAATCCTTTTCGTTGTATAGACAGATTTGTCAAACGTACTACATGTGCACGTATGCACCCGTATACTTGCACATACACATTTACACACACATATACATATATACACACATGAACACGAATGTTCATATGTACTTGTACATGTACATGTGTAGATATGTTCATAGTTGCATACATGCAAGTAGTTTTTCCCATGGACGCGAGCATAAGAAGTGTGTGTGTGGCCTGCGTAGCATACATATGTAAAGATGGAAGTCAAGGCAACTGTTCGCAATAGTGGCCTATTCTGTTGGCCCTTGCATTACGAAATCAACTTGCATTCTGCTGGCCTTTCATGCAAGAGACATTGAATTCCGGTTGCATGAGGAGTCCTTACCGGCTTAGCTACATTAGGCAGTCGGATGTTAGCTTGCTTCTGGGCATGATGCAGAGCTCTCCAGGATTTTCATGCAGGCTTCATGTGGGAGCGCTCGCACTCCAGAGATCTTATCAGCTAGACGGAGGTCAGCAAGTATGATTGGTAAGAGCTGCTAGGGCATACTGGGGTAGAACGCAAGAGTCAGGATCAGCATGCTGCAGCAGAGCGGGCGCTGCTCTCAAAATGCTGCGGTGCATCTGTGGGCTATTGAACACGGTTGAGGTTTCCGGGATGATGGGTTGAGGCTCGGTTGACGGCCCGTAAGCTCTTGTCTACAGTATGACCGCCAAGGGAGCATGGCAACTTCCCCGGTACAGCCCATTGTCCACTAGCTAGCTTTGTAAGGCATTATGAGCCATAGTCTAAACTCCTAGTATCCCCCTTAATGACCCCCATACGGCTCCCCTACATAAACCCCGTTACAGGAGCTTTTACGCTCTAGCTGATATTGGGTGTGGCTCATTTGGGAGTTCCTCGAAAATACGAAGGCAATTGGGGCCTGGCTTACATCATCGGAAAGAGGGCGTATAGGGGCCTTCTTGGGAGTTTCCACAAATCGAAATAGGAGGACGCCCAAGAAAGGACCCCTAATTTTGGGAAACCCTTACCCTTATAAACCATGAAAAACTCCAGCTTCTTTCTTTTCCATTCCATTCTCCATTATTGGGCTAATACAACCCGACAGGTCCCTATATATCCCCGCATATCGCTAGGCTACTCCCTCACTCATTTAAAAAAGACTGTTAGAAGGTGTGGGCATAGATCCCTATATAGCAATGGGCTAGAGCATGTCCGGGCTTCACGTGCGCACACTGTGCGTGGACGTGCTGAAGCATGGAGCTTTGCTGTTGCCACACATGCCTAGCATGGTAGTGTTCATGCTGAAAAACTGGCATGATCCTCTTGTACTAGTTAATTCCACACTTTCCAATGTTTCCGGTATTGTTTAGTCTCCAACATAGTGTTCTCGGTGAGCTTGAGGGCTCAAGGATCTCGCAGGAGCAAACACAGAAAAGCCCATGACTTGCACAAGCATGCATTCCAAAATTTCACGCCGCTCTGAAAAATCACTGCCACTGTTACCGGAGCCCTGGAAAGGCTGCCATCGGTACCGAACAGGATAAGCAAAGCAGCGTCTACATGGCTTTAGAGCAGCTTACCGTCATGTGTTGGTAGGCCGATGGAGCTGAGCTTCTGGAGTTGGTTGTGCAGCGGCGACAGTGGTGTTTTGCTGCGCCAACGGATTCCAGAAGTTGCCTTGTTCTATGGCTGTCGCCTTGAGACATGGTATCACAATGTCAGCGGCCTCCTGGTTGCGGAAAGACCTGCCGGGTCGGTCACCAACCTCTTGGAAAAATTCAAGGAGGTGTGCGAGGACGCCGCTAAGCCCATAGCTACTTAGATGTGCTTTAAAGCAGTTCTACATTTCTCTTTGCTGTTTCTATTCAAACATGACGTAGCGCCCCCCCCAGCCAGCTTTGACAGGGCTTTTGACGGAAGAGCCCAGGCCATCCTCAGACATGAGAGCAAAGGCAACGGCCGCGAGGGGATCCCTGCCGGTGCAGTTGTACCTGTTCTTTTGACACTGCAAAAGTTTACAGAAATTCTGAGGGAAGTGGTGGCTGGGGCTAAATTGAGCCAGCTTTTCAAGCACTATTTGCATGAAAAAATGATATGCACGGTTCCTCCTTAACTTTGCATGGGAGTCACAAGTTGTGGGACCTCTAAGCCAGCTAGAGGTGGAAGGGCGGATCGTGAACCTGAAGACCGGGTGCCTTTCCGGGTTCTGGACACTGCAATCCTATGTCGAGCCGCGCTACGGGCTGCGGTTCTTGAGCACATACACATGTGATGCCCATCTCGAGGAAAGGCATGATACTTTTGCTCAGCCTTTCCATAAGTGCTACTCGCTTGAAGGCGCGTCGCATGAGTTGCCGCAAGATGAAGCCAGCTCTTCAAAGAAGTTCCGACTTGATGCACCTCAAAGGGATGCCATCGAGTCCAAGGCCTTGGGAATTGTGCGCTTTGCGCACCGATATCACAAGTTGGACCTGGAAGGGATCCTCTTGGAGTTCGTTGTCGACAACAGTGGCAGGCTCACTCTGCACGGCTGTTGGTCCGCCTCTATCTGCAACGCACGGGACTCTAGAAGGTTTCGATCTGCATGGCCTGAAAAGCAGGGCCGCGTGCGGGAGATACCCAAGACCTTCAGCGTCCCACGGTTGGAAGAGAACTTTGAGATGGATTTCGAGGATGCCGAAATGCGGCCGGGTCCCATCTCCAGCTCTAAGAAGACCTCCGATGCATTTGTTCCAGATTCAGAGCCAAAAAGAAGAGCTCCACCGCCGATGCTCCTGGAATTCTGGCAGGGCGACAACTTTCTTGGGGAGGCCGCCTTCGAGCGTCAGGGCTCTGCCACTGCCCGTTCGGCTGAACTCCGCATCCTGAAAGTTTTGCCCCTGGGGCATGAGCCGCCTTTGAGGTCAGATGGGCGCAAGCTGCTAGCAGAAGCAACACAGGAAGCTACTGCTGTAGTCTCCTTGAGGTGGGAACCCCAAAACAGGGGACCCCAAGAATATGGTAGGAATATGGTAGGCATATCCTGGATTCAGTCAATGGGGCCTAAACACTAAATCCCAAACCCTAAACAGTAGTTTCCATTTTCTTTTTCATTATCCCAATGTTAACCCAATATAACTGTCTAATTAAGGGGGACTATAAGCCCTAAACCCTAAACCTCATATTATATTGTAGTTTCCATTTTCTTTTCCATTATCCCAATAAAACCCCAATATACTACATAGTGGTTTCCATATTCTGTTCCATTATCCATAATGTTAACCCAACACAACAAATATTTTCCTGTAGTCTCCTTTAAACATGACTTTGGCAACTAAACCCCGAACCCTAAATCCTAAACCTCAAACCCTAAACCGCAAACCCACAACCCTAAATCCTAAACCCCAAACCCTTTAGTCTCCTTGAGGCCTGGCGAAGGGGCTTTAAGCCGCGACCTCTTCAACTTTAAGCTTGGAAGAGCCGAGGGCCTACCTGTCCCAGACCAAGAAGGTAAGGTGCACGCGGTCTTGTGGAGACTTGGCAGTTTAGGGTTTAGGGGAGGGTTTGTTTGTCCCTCCTGCGCTATGCTCATACCATCATCACAATACACATTACACATTACATATATGTATGCTAGACCCTGGGTCCTAAATAGAAATTACCGTTTTCCGATTGTCCCCACATATCCCCAACATGTCCCCTATATATATACTGTACCCCATACTTCTTTAGAGGCCAAGCCTTTGGCTGTTGCTACTTGTACTTATATTGCCTTTATTATCAGTATTGGTATTACTTTCCTTGTGGCTAAACCTGCTACCCCCCTGCACACGACGTCGCATCGCGGAGTATTCTGACCATGTCTACATCAGGGGTTACAACGCTGTCCCCTTCAAAGCTCTCCCCCCTCAGATTTTAGGATCCGATAAGGCCTCATTAAGCCCTTTATCGTCCTTATTAGCTCCTTAAACACTGGGGGTGGTACCTCCGTGGGAGATGGTACCTTAAACCCTAACTGCAACTTCAGGTAATCACCCCTGCCTGCTATCACGAATGAGCTACTGCTGTCGAGGGGCAAAACGAAGCACATGCTATTGCATGTGCTATCACATGCTAAGAACCCATACATATATAGGCACTCATAAGCACTTTCTAGCAAAGCTTATTGGTTGTAAGTCCTGAATCCTAGACCCTCTACAGTAGCCCTTAGAATATCGCAGTTTCCATTTTCTTTGCTCTTCCTTCATTCCGTGGCCTCAGCCGCAAACCCTAGACCCTATGGTAGTTTCTATTTTCTTTTCCATTATCCCAGTGCTAACCCAATATAACCCCAAAATCCATATAACCCCTATATAACCCATTATAGTAGTTTCCATTTTCTTTTCCATTCCTTCATTCCCTGCTAAGAACCAGCCAGCAACTTAACCCTTAGCCCTGCCAGCTCCAGGTATATACGTCATGTGTGATCTGTTTTTCTATGTGATTTTACATTATTGGGGTTATATCCCCAATAGATTATATACTTCTTTATGAAATCAATCCTTATATTACCCTTATATATATATATATCCCCCTAAACCCTGAGTAAAGGACATGGCAGAGTGACGCATACCGAGCGGTTTGGAGCTCCTCTGATTCGGAAGCAGTCGAAGAGTTCGTGGATGGGCGCTGGGCCACGGTTCACGTGTGGAATCTGGGCCATTGCTCGGAACAGCTTCTTTTGAGACGTTAAGCACGAAAAGACATTCTGTATACATATATATATATATATTCATCTACACACACACACACACACACGCGCGCGCGCGTGCGCGCGCGCGCATACACAGGATTATGTGTGTAGATGCAGTTTCCAAGTTGCATATCTCATGACTTTCTGCTCAAGAGTGACTGATGCGAATGCATGAAAAAGTTGTTTTATCAACCCATGGAAGCATTGACCCGAAACCCTAAGCCCTAGACCGCGTGTCAAAAAATCATCTCCCTGCAAACAATGATCATCACAAAACATTTCCTTTTTCCAGGTAAATCCTAAGCCCCAAGCAACCCAAGAAAGCTCAATGTAGTTTAGGGTTTAGGGTATGCGGTTTAGGGTGCGAGGAATATACCATGCATTATACTACTGGGAAGATTATGTAATTGTTTTCTATTCTTGTGTCCCTTCTCGATTACCCCAAAGACCCGAAACCTTAAATGATATAGTCCTAAGTCCTCTCCCAAAATGGTAAGACTGCCGACCCTAGATCAGAAACCCCAAGCCCTTAGTAGCCCTTAACCCTAAACATCCCTCAGCCCCAAGCCCTGAATCCCTAAGCCTAAGCCCAAAGCCTTCTAGCGGATACCGAGCTACGGTTTACGGTTCAGTGCCGCCCTTTACTGGGACCCCCATCATATGTCCCCATAAACCCTATTTAAAGAACCAGTTAGGCCCCTCAACACGGTTTAGCGTGCAGGACCCTCTTCAAGGGACCCTCATAATATCCTAAGCAACCCTCAACTCTAAACCCTTATCAAACTTCAAATCTTTACGCAGTCCCAGGAATGGAGAGTCCGTTGATCTGCCTTTGCCTGTGACTTGCTGGGGCTTGAGGGGAAGGGGGGTAGGGATTATGGGCGCCACTATAGGGGTATATATGAGGTTCGTGTTGGGATTGTTGCAAGGATCCACTCCCGCTAGACCCCAAAACGGGTAGTTCTCAGTCTGTTTGTCCCAGTTGGGGAACAATACACGATACAGGGATTTTATAGGAACTATATCCCCCTAATGCCCTACTAACAACCAGTAAGGTGAGGGCAGCTGACAGCCCGGACAGGGAGCAACCTCCCAGGTCACAGCCACGGCAATTGAAAGACGTTCAGTTTGTACCCTTCTAACCTTTGAAAGGAAATATACATATACATACATGGAGAGAGGGATATGTAGGAATGTTTATGCACAAAAAGATTTTAAGTTTGTACCCTCAAGGCTTACAACCTTGAATTTGGGGGGTCCTAAGTACCCTAAGTGAGGGCTATCTTCCGTGGTTTAGGGATCCAGTCCCAGGGGTACAAACCCCGAGTACAAGTCCTTTAGAGGCCGGATATGAGTTATGTAGGAAGATTAGGGCTATTGAGGGCTTAGGGCTTGGGGTTTAAGCCTCTTCCAGGCCACACACCTAGATGTTCGAAAAGCGTTTGAGGTGTTCTTCAAATCAGGGGGATTATATAGAGTTCAGGGTTTGGGGTTTAGGGTCTCAACTCCTTAAAGGGGGTATATATAGGGGATTTTTATAGAGGAGTCTGATAGGGGCCCACTTTGTGTTTGTCCCCGAGCATGGGTTAGGCAGAGGCCCTCTCCTAGAGCTTCGCCAAGACAGTCGCCGAAGTCCATGGTGGATGAGGGGCTGAAGTCCTACGACCACGTCTGCGGAGCAGAGTTGGCGGCGCATTGGGGGATGAGCGAGGATGGCCTGCATCTTGTCTAATGAATGGGGTTGGGGTGGAAGGCTTAGAGGTGTTGGGGTTGGGGTTCAGGGTTTGATGTTATTTGGGGTGTAAGGTTGGGTGCTGTGAACTTCATGAATCATTTTCAGGAATACTTGTCAACCCCAACCCCTGAGCAAGAATCGCGCCTATGATCATATACCTCAACATAGGGTTTACAGTTCAGGGCTGATGTTTATGTTTGGTAGGAGGCTCCACAGAGTTCTGAAGTCCTTGTTCCAATCATGGGACTGCATGGAGGCCGCCAACACGCACCCCCGAAGTGAAGCCTTGTAAGCCCCAAGAAACCTTCATCAGACCTAAAGAACGATCCCGGATAATCCTGAATGACCCCTGATTAAGGAGTTAATCTGTGGGCAGCGCTAGCAAAAAGGGACCCACAGAGTGATTCAGAACAGTGGGCTATTGGGGTGCCCATAGTAGCGCCAGCAAATAGGAGGGTCTACAGAAATCCATCATCATCGCTACAGATCCCTTAGCCCTATACCCTGAGCCCTATAAAACCTATACCCGAAACCCCAAGGCCTAAAACCTAAGCCCTATACCCGAAACCCTATACTCTAAGCCCTAAGCCCAAAACCTTAAACCCCAAACCTTAACTAAAGCCTAAACCCTAAAACCCGTAAACCCTAAGCCATAAACCTTCAACCCCATATCCTAAGCCCTATAAACCCTACACGTAAGGCATGGGAGTGTCCTGGCTTCCCAGATCTGGCAGCGCATGAGGCTAGACCGACGCTGGGCCAGTGAGACGTCTGTGGGTTTCGCGCAGAGGGTTTAGGGACGTTACTTGGAGGCTCAGGGGCGCTTAGTAGCAATGGAAAAGAAATGGAAAGTATTACAGATTGTGTAAGGTTTACGGCTTTGGTTTTAGGGTTAAGGGGTTTAGGGGTTTTAGGGTTAAGGGGTTTCAGGATTAGGTTGAGGGTTTAGGGTGAAGGGTTCAGGTTTTAGGGCTAGGGGGTTTGGAAGGTTCTGGCCCTTGTAACGAGCATGATGAGGGTATAGGAGCCTGCAATCCTTTTCGGGTAACATTCTCTACCATTATTACTATTAAATTACAGTTTAATTCTTGCTGTTGTTATTCCTTTGTTTTCAGTTGAACGTTGCTCCAACCATATCCCAGGAAGCAATCGCTCCGGCTTGCTGAAGCGGCTGGCACAGCAGGTGCAGGGCAAGTCTTGTGAAAGTTTGAGTTATATGGGTGATAGTCTAAACTCCTTAAAGAAGGTTATGTAGAGGGGTCATATAGGGGAGTATGATAGGGTTATTCAGGCGGATACTAGGAGATTAGATTAGAGCTCATATTTGGGTTTGAAAGAATGAGAGGTGAGACCTTGGGGTGATATGGGAGATTTCCAAAATCAGGGGTACCCCTTTGGAGGTCCTTATAAGACAGCTTATAGTATATTGGGGTCTCTCCATTTAGGGGAAGTGCCATATGCCGTAGCTACGAAAGTTTTACAAGGATTTTGAGGTGACATGATGGAGAATTTGTCAGGCCCCTCCATTACTTGTTAGGAGGACCCCCACCCTGTAATAGTGGTATATTAGCAATATAAGACGACCCTAATATAATGCCTATTATGCCTTATAGTCACTATTACAGGGTGGGGGGTCCACCTAAATTATTTGTTTTGATCAGCTTTGGGAGCTTTGCTGCCCCTGCAATAAGGATCCTAAACATAGGACCAAGCTGTCGAGAAACTCCCTATACTTCATCTTGAAAATGATCCCAAACCCCAAACCCTACTCCTTCGAAACCACTGCTGTCCTTTACACAAAACTGTTTTGTATTTCATGTATTCAGTACTTACATGATGGCAGGATCCAACACAAAGAACGGCATTGGAAAAAAGGGAGTCTTTTCTGTGAAGTCGCCAGGTTGTCAGTTTCCACAACATGCAGCGCCAGTGGGAAATCTTCCTCGAGACTACGAAGGCCTGTTAATGCTCAAGCTGGAGCAAAACCCCAAAGTGATTTTTAGATAATCCAAGTAAATATGCCACAAAAGTATACATGTCTCCCCGTAGTAGCTTCCATGTTCTTTACTTTGCCTAGATCCCCTTACATAGGCCCCGTATTTCCTTATCCCCCTCAAGCCGTCAGAAGGAGAAGCACGAGGAAGCTTGCGCAGATCTCGCGAAGCAGGAGAAGGCCCTGCAAGAAGCTGGGTTGCTGTTAAGGAGCTTAAATTAACTGACTGTATTGAAGGAACCCTAAAATTTACTACGTATACCGCATATACCCATTACCGTAACCTTAGACCCTACTGTATATACCCTACATTATATATACGCCCAGTATGGTAACCCTAAACCCTCTATATCTATATATATATACATACATATTTACATCTACACATTTTGGGAACTCAACTTGAATTCCTTAACAGAAACCCAGGAAGCGCATGAGCAGCGCAAGGAAGCCATCGAGGCTGCTGTTCCGGCTAACTTCCAAACAGGGTTTAGGGTTTACTGTAGGGGCCTAAATAATTACCAATATTATGGTTCCATATTCCTTGTATAATTATAGTATATGATACCTCAATGGACCTCAACATGATGTTGGTAATTATTTAGGCCCCTGTAGTAGGGTTTTGGGCTAACTTCCAAGCAGGGTTTAGATTGGGTACTCTCCCCACTCTGTAATAGTTGGATAACATTTGTAATGCATATATATATATGTGTGTGTATATTGTAGCCTTCAATATGACCCTTAATGTAGACCGTTATGGTGTGGGGGCAGTACTCGAAGGTCTAGGGTTTAAGTATGGCTGTTTGCAGCCATAAGCTTTGCACGGTACCGATGTATTTGCAACCAGATTCCTGCACGCCTGGCCGTCAAACAAATGCGACCATTTTGTGGTTACCGTCAGCAACACTGCTGCTACAGCGCCTCCCCCTACCCTAATGCCTATGACACACACGCACACACGTAGGCACTTCTCAAAAATAATCCTTGCAGAATCCTTTGCAGGGCCCCCGGAATCCTCTTATAATCAATCCCTATGTATGCTCAGGGTCCTTAGGGTACCCCTTTGTTGAGAAAACTCCACATAGATGAACCTGCCCTGAGGCCCATAAGAAGAGAATGGCCGCAGCATGCCGTAGGATGCTGAAGGAGCTCTGGATCCCTGGTTTGGGTTGAGGGGTTTAGGGTTGGTTTTACAGACCCTAGGGATATGTATAGGGACTGCAAGGGGACTATCGGGGCCCCTGTTCAGAATAAATAGGGGATTCTTTGAGAAACTCCCATATAAGGTTAAAGGTAGTATATTGAATTTGGGGTATCAGGTCCAAAGCATTTTGGGTTCAGGGTGTAGGGTTCATGGCCTAGGGCAGTATTGTGTTTAAGCCCTAAACCTAAACCCTAAACCTTATATAACCCCATTATAGTAGTTTCCATTCTGTTTCCCATTCTCCCAATACAACCCCTATACAACCCGTATATTATATTGGGTATCGGCTTGTAGGGGTTGGTGGTTCATGAGAGCTCGTCATGTGCAGCTTGGTCTGCCAACCCGACTGGACCTGATACAGCAGCAACCACTGCTGCACAACAACTTGCACTAATATGGGCAGGGGAAGTGTCCCAAAATTAGCCTTGATCCTGAAGATAATATTGCATTGGGGTTACATAGGGCTCTGCATTCAGGGAAATCCCCATACCCAGACCCCCTAAAGGATCCCAAAATAGAACCCTCCCAAAACGGCTCCATCACTACATTGGGGAACGTAGGGGATTACTAAGGGGTTCCATGTTTTGGATCCTAAGCCCTGCACCCCTAAACCCCCCGGGGGTTTGGGTACAAAAGCAGAATAGTGGAAAGGCGGCCTGTCGGCCAGAAGTTGAAGCTGCTTGGGCAGCTTGCACCATGTGGAAGCCTAAATTAAGAAGCATTGCTGTCCTCTTACGGCCCTCCAATAATTGCATGTAGTTTCATGTGCTCACCAAAAAAACATTCCAAGCATTTAGCCCCGTCTACTACAATTTCTTTTCACCCCTAGATGCACTCTGTTTTTCCGCATCATATCCCATCATCTTTTCCATGTGATTCCCTTTTCGTCCAACTTTTCGGGCGGCGCAGACGGCGTGGCGAATTGTAAGCTGGTACTTGGAGGGTCATAGGGATCTAGTAAGTAGGTAGATAAAACTTATAAGCCACATAGTAACCCTAGTTTTCCCCATTATTAACATACTGGCTAAGACCCCTGGCCGTAAACCCTGAACCCTAAATAAGATGTAAGATGTACATATGTATATATAGTGGTACCATCTTCTTTTCCATTATTACTAAGTCCCCCTGACCCTCCAAGTAGTCTTGTTGGCTCGAAGCTCAGATGGGTATTTTTTTATCAGAATTTGGGTCGCCGTGAGCCTTCGGCTCACAATCATAAGGGTACTGTACACCAAAGACTCCCCATATGATGCGAGGGCACAGGTTAGGTAAGCCCTTGATCTTCCATAGGTTTTGGTTTACTTCTAAGTTGTTGAATACATAGTTCCACTATGACTCCTCAGCTACAGTTCCAATTCGTATCCATCATGGGAGACTCAGCCTGCCATGCCTCCCTACTGCCCCAACCCCAGCCAGATACAACGCTGTTGGGTACATCTTGCGGGTTGGTTTGTACTGAATTAGCATGGTGAATAAACCTGCCTGTTCCGCAGGAGTTTGATGAGTACCAGGCCCGCGAAAGCGCAGAAGCCGCAGCGTTGGCCGAATCTCAACACAGAGTTTCAGAGCAGCAAGTCAGATTAGCTGACCTCACCGAGAGGAGTACACACTTTGAAGAATCACTGAACCGGGTGAGACGCAAAGTGGATGACCTTCTGGCTGAAGAAGTTAGGCTGCGACAACAACTGGATGAGATGCGCTCGCAGCATCTGGCCTCGAGGCAAGCAAGCATGCGGACAGCATCAGATGATCTTGCGGACTTAGCCGCAATCAAGGCTGATCTGTCACGAAGACGTAGAGCGGCCCAGAATGAGCACAAGCACATCTTAAAGATGGAAGACTTCGTTCGAAAGGTCGCCAACCAAGATAACAAAACCCTCCGAACAGGTGGGGGATTTGTGCTGAACAGCATGGCAAAAGCCGAAGCAAAATCGCTAGTGCAAGAATTATTCTTGGAGTGAGGCCAAGCTAAGGAGCAGCTTCTGCCAAGGAGAAAAGGAAACTTGCTTTTGCAGTGTGGGGGGGCGGCGTGGAGGGGGGCTTCAGGGGTTCGGGTTTAGGGGTTTCGTCAGCAAAGTGCAGAATCTGAATCTGGCTGAAGAACGCACATCACGAACACGTTGATGGTCTTTCTGAGCCTTGGTTCCTAGTCTGTACCCTAAACCCTAAAACCTAAATGGTAGTTTCCCAAAATTAGGTGGACCCCAATATAGACCCCGAAATACTATAATCCTTATTAGGGTGACGCCCAAGATGATACTCCTAATTTGGGGAAACCTCCAAATCACAACCTCACGGGTTTGAGGGCTTTCTCATTGCAATCCGACTAAAAGGAGAGGCGGTTTCCTTAGCATGAGCACTGACGAAACTGGCTTGCTGTTAAGGATCTTAAATGAAGTTGCTATACTAAGGGTATGTGGGTTTTAGGGTTTCGGGTTACTATAACAAGGGAGCCCTATTTTCTACTATATACCCACATTGTTGTCACTTCATTTCAGTTCCCTAACAGCAACCCAGAAAACCAGGGCCATGGGACTGCAATAAAAAATACACCCACACGTACCTGGGTGGTCCTGCATTCATTCAATCATCAGAATCATTCCTACTGTAGAAGCCTCAAGATGGCTTATTTGGTCCCTTACACTTCTTATATGTGAATAAAACATGGCAAAACATATTCCCGCATCCTACAATTGAATAGGCCCCTGAACTAAAGGATCCTTTAATCGGGGTTGCTGTTCGGGAATTCATTGAATGTGCTATGCTATGGGTATTTAATATAGTTAATGCATGTTGATATTGGATTTTTTGTTGCAGTATACCTAAACCCCTAAACCCTAAAACCCTAAACCCTAAACTACCACTAAGACCCAGTAACTAGCTGAGGTGGAGTTGGAGAAGCTGCAAGGACAGACGTTGACCGAAGACAGCCGGGGAGCAATCGATGTTGCCTTGCGCTTAGTAAAGGGGCTTTAGGGTTTGGGGTTTGGGGTTTAGGGTTTAGGGTGGGAACCCCAAACAGGGAACCCCAAGAATATAGTAGGAATATAATAGAGTATATAGTAGAACAGAAGGACCCTGGTAGGTCTATTCCTATTATATTCCTACTATATTCTTGGGGTTCCCTGTTTGGGGTTCCCATTAAAGTCCCTTTGCTTAGGAAGGGTGGAGCATTTGCCCTAAATCTACTATAGTATGTTGGGGTTATATTGGGATACGGGAAAAATGGAAACTACTATAGTACATTGTGGTTATATGGGGATAACTTACATTTTTATTACAGTATAGCCCTCAGGGAGTACTAAACATAACATTCGTGTTTTAGGTCCAGGCTGATCCAGCCTCCCTTGAGTAGATAGAATATGGGGTATGTTAAGTAGATAGAACATGGCTCTGTGGCCATATTACAACAAGATCCTCATATACCCCATATTCTATCTACTTAAGGGGGACTATATCCCGAAATACGTTCAAACATATTGCTCAAGGTGCAAGTTCATGGCAGTGGAACCTGGCTGGCGCTGGCCAATGCCCGAGGAAAGCTTTGGACCGTTGATTGGCAAGTCAAAGGCTGCATGACCTATGAGCCATAATCTATGTATGTGGTCTATGCTGGTCCCGCTGTTTCAGGAAACAACAACATGAAAAGAGGAATGTTGCTTGTTGGAGGGGTGATATTCCTGGAAGCGAATCAATCCTTCCCTGGTCACCCTAGCTGACTGATGTCAGCAACCTCCGTTACTTTTGTTGCGATCCTTGCGGGAAGCATCTACTGTTGATACTGAGATCCCGCATGATATTAGTATACTATCGTGCCATATTTCCAAAAGTTTAGAGTACTTATGCTCATGCTGGATTTTTAGTATCCACCGTACTATTCTTTGGACTGGACATTGCTACACCCAGAGAGCCCAATATTGCTTGACTAAGGAATAAAGCTTATGGTATTCCAGGGCCCTTAATCTGGTTTAAGGTATATTCGTCAATGAAGGAATATGGCTAAAATCATGTTAATGGTCCTGGTCCAGGTATAACTTAAGCTGCGTTCCTTAATTAAGCAATATATTGGGCTCCCTAAACCCTAAGCCCTGCTCACCCAGGCCAAGGAGGAAGCCCGGTGGCTGCAAAAATACAGGGCGCATGCAGAGCGCCTCCCTGGCACGTTTCCTGAACATGCACAAATGAAGCAATAAAAGAGTTACATAGGGGATTATAGAATGTAGGGTTTAGGGTTTAGGGTTTAGGGTCTAAACTCCTTGAAAGGGATTATAGAGGTGACCATCAAGGGGACCAGGAGTTTAGACTCTAGCTCAGATGATTGTAACAATAGTAGTAATAATCGTAAACGTCTTCGGAAGAATCGCAAGAATAGTATCAGCAGTATTAATGGTAGTAGAATTATGGCTCATTTCAAGAAGGGGGTCGGACTCCTGTACCCCCAAATTTTGTTTTGAGCTGCAGTGTATACGATGCTCAAGGTGAGCGCGTACAGTCGGGTCCTCCACAGCGGCTCAAAGGGGAGCGCACGGCGAACTGCCACATGTTTTTACATGTCCATTATCGTTTTGAATCCGAAGAGCCCCTCTGTGGTTGGAAGCTGATGATGAGCCCCTTTTGGGGACACCATTTTTTTCGCGGGTATCTATGGGACGGGAATTTTGAGAACCACCGCGTTCCCTCATCTGAAGCTCGAAGCCCTTGAATAGAAGCACTATCGTTGTGTAGGAGACATTACAAAAGCCAACACAACCATTAAACCCTTCTAATCTCCGTGAGTTCATCTTTGTCACCCCACAGGCCACTGCATGGTTTTCTTCCCTCAGAACTTACCGAAGTGACGAACCCTTACTGTACTGTGAATGGAGGACCCCCCACCCAGTGCTAGTGGCTATAGGGGATAATAAGGATTATATTAGGGTCCTCTTGTATTCCTATTATACCACTATAACAGGGTGGGGGTCCTCCTAACCTATACCCAGGAGATTGGCGATCTTTGGGGATCCTAAGCAGCAAGATTTCCTCCAGCCACCGTCAGCTCAACAACCTAAGCCCTAGCCCAAAACCTACACCTTAAACCCTAAACCTTAAACCGTATCAGCTATAGCCTAAACTCCTAAAAGGGGGATGACATAGGGGACTACTATAGGGGTTATTAATTAAGGGGGATACTCGGAGTTTAGACTATGGCTCCTTTGTTATCTGAACTCCTTGTGCAGCTCTCAGACTTACCAGGTTGGGGTTTCCGCTGGCGGGATCACCGCCTGATAGCTCAGACTTGGCTGATGTGTAGGGTCTATGTACACTCCTGGAAACTAATATGGAAACCCAAAAGGGGCCCTATAAAGACAACAGTCCCTCTAAAATGGGCCTATAGGGGTTTCCATGTTAGTTTGGGGGAGTGTAAGGTGTGAAATGTAGGGCTATGTAGGGGTAGTGGGAAAGAACGTGGAAGCTACTTCAAGCCACTTTTTAGGGTTGGCTGGTGGTTAATCCGCTTACGCCTAATACCAAGAATCCCCTCCCAGACCCTGACATCAAATAGACATCAAACATGATCTCAGTAATATAGTGTACCACACCGGCAGCATTATTAAGGGCGGGGGATGGGGGATTGAATACTGGGGATGGGGTTGCTGGTGCCTAGCGCCTAGTGTTTACCACGCAATGGAGGCATGGAATATCCCTACTAAACCCTTAAACCCGAACCCCTTAGGGTCTAGGGTTTAGGGGTATCCCTATACAACGCCCCCATACAAAGTTTGAACTCCTCGCTAAGTCCTGGATATCATGGAAGTGAGCCTACGATAGGGTTCAATTCCTGAATCCGTGTGACATACCAATCGGCAAGACAGGTGGCAATTGTCCAAGGGCACGATTTCGAGGGATGTGTTGGGCTTTCAGGGTCTCTGGTTACGTAAAGCTTTCTTCTGAGATGATGGTCTAGGATTTTTGGGTTTAAGTGTTTGGAAGGTGCTGCAAGACATGTTCGTCACATGCTTGAACCCCGGCACGGATTCTGAAAAAGGCTTTGGTCTTGCAATGGAGTCTGAAGAAGTTCCAGGCATATGATCCAGCCTCTTTTTTTTTCGTAGGAGTTGGCAGGCGTTGGTTGAGGTTGGCTTACTTTATCATTCAAACACACAGGGATTAACGGGCTCCGCATGGAGCTGGCACGCTTGTTCGAAAGGGCAGGCGTCATCAGAGCAGCTGCAAGGATACAGGGCTGGGGCTGAGGTGCACGTAGGTATCATTGCCACGGAGGTTTGGTTGGGGAACTTGTGCATGGCCCTCACAGCGCTCAACAAAACGTTCAAAAGTTTGACTACGGAGCTTGTTGCGAAGTGCAAAGAACCATCTCAGCTCCAGGCAGCATGGACGGCGAGAGCAAGTTGCCAGAAGAAATTGCGCGGCACTTATCAGTTGCATGTGATGAGTGTTGTCTACCATGTTCGTCCCGATATAGGTTGTTACCCATGTGCCGAGCATCTTTGGCACGATGTTGGCGCCTCGTGATCTCAAGGCAGCCATGCCCTTAGTTTCGCAGGCATGCAGTTTGTCTGGAGCCCCACCATGAAATTTGTGATTATTGGCTATGGCAATGCATGGATGAATGCCCTGGAGCAGCTTGCTAAGTAAAAAGCATGTTAGCGTGTTTTTGTGGTCAAGTCACCCATTGCAGGGTGCAAGCTGCTCATGACGAATGAGGTGTTGGCGTCAGCAGATGCCACGAGTGTCAATGGCAAACCAGCTTTGCCGCCGGTTGTGTTGCGCGATGCCCCAGTTTCCTTTGTTGCAAAATGCGTTAGGGGGTGAGGGGGGGGGGCGGGGCGGGCAAAAAATGCGTTTGAGGCACATCCTGGCTTTCAAAGCGTGCCGGGGCGCCATCAAATTTGGAGATCCGCTGTCAGACGTGGCCCTGGCATGTCTTTTTCTGAATTAGGCACACCATATACGTCAGTTTGTTTTTGCGTCTCTGCAATTGATGATCTCAAATGCCATCCTGCGCAGAAAACATGCGTTTGGGAAAGGTTCAGATGCAAAAGCTGATCCGAGAGCTTGGCTCGTGCAAGTTCCCTTTCCAGCCTTCCTCTCAGGTGCACATTTTTCAAGTTTCAAAGTAAGATTTTGAATTTTGTGTTGCTTGCCTTTTGCCAACCGACTTTCACAGGTGTGCCCATGGACGTCCAACAGTTTACCCATTGCACAAGGGCGGGAGGCTTAAGTCAGAGTGAACCGTGCCAAGGTCATTTCCATGTAATTTCTCTGACGTTCGCGAAGATTCTTCCGTCATGAGTTGTTGAAGTGACATCCAAGGTCTCATCCACCAGGGCACTGACAATTTGCAGTCAAACATGTCGCATTGTAATGAGCCGAAAAGCCGAACGTGGAATTTTGGGGTTCCTGTTAGGGTCCATTTAAGATATAGTTAGAAATTCCAAGACACAGTTGACGCTGAGGCTTAACAAGCTTGGCTTCCAAAGTTCCAAAGGCAGTTGGACCGCTGCAAGGCCATGTTTAAGTTTTCTGCTGCTTGTTGCGATTCCCCGCTAGAATAAACAATCCCTTTAACAATCCTCAAACCCCCTAAATAGAACATGGTCGCCGTAATATGTGTTGGTATTATATTGGGGGGTTAATTGTTATCATTGCCAACGGTTAGAGGGGTATTGTCGGAGACGTCTCGTGTTATTGCATTCGGGAGTTTTGTGAAAGGAAATCTAGGATCAGCAGCCCAGTATTATTTGGGAATGTACGTTCAAATGAAGGCACTTCTGCTGACATGTCATTATCAAAACACTCGTTGATGCGTGTGATGTTCAAATTCTTTGCGACTTTCAGCTCAGCAAGAATGTTCATCATTGTCCAATTGTGAGGTTTGCTTTGCAAAGATCCGCGGTGCGCGAAGTGACGTGAAAGGTTGACACCTGTTTCTGGTGAAGGGCCGTCAATGTCATCATTGCTACGCCCTTCACGCTGTTTTGTTGCAACAGGCAGCGACTGTCTGGAGTTGAATTCGTGCATGAGGCGGACGTGGAGACTGGCAGACAAGGGATGGCAAGGGGGCGCGGGGCGCCACTTATTGGTCCTTCTCTTGAAAATGAGCTTCCTGATCATGAACAATGTGCCTTCCCAATATCCGTACGTATAAGGCTTTACAGAGGATGAGGGGTGTCATGATAAGTGGGGTGGTTCACTTTTGAAGTTGCGTCAGGCCAGCGTGATCACTAGCGGCCACTAGCGTTTGTTCGCTTCATTGTCTGCCAATTCGGCCCTACAACTTCGGTGCTGAGATGGTGGTTTCTCAAAAGAAAGGGTTTTCGGAGGGCCTCAGGGTATATGAGGATTTCTAAGCGGGGTTACATAGTAGATGTTTTGAGAAGCTGCCAGGTTCGCAATTGCGTGTGAGGAGGTGTGTGATGCAATCGCCGTGGCGTGCGTCACAGCAGACGAACCCATCCCAGCAGCTGCATGCAAAACGAAGGTCAACATGAGCAGGCAGGCGACGCAGTCTAGTTTTACATATGACAGAGGTTTCATCTAATGAGATGTTCGAAAAGACACGATGTAGCGATTCGATTTTGAAGCCATGTTCCAGGTTCCAGGCAGTTGCAACATGCGCATGTTGGGTTGAAGTTACTTTGCCGTAACGGTGTCAAGCGTAACATGTGCACGTTCAGCTGACTTGGCTTGAACGAGGAAGTGTTGCGCCGTAGGTCGGGGGGTTGCGCGATGATCCGGAGAGCATCCACCAAATGGCTAGTGTTTTACCTGGCTTGGGGCCTTGCGCATGCTGGTGTAAAGCGGATGGAGGAACCGTTGGCAAAACCGATGAGAATTGGATCTTTGCAAGGGATTGAACACTGATGGGCCCTCAAGAAGTCACTGCGACTAGCGAATAGTGATGGTACGGCTTCCTGTATGAAGCTATCTGGATTCATGCCCCAAGAAACCGCCCGGGCATTGCTTTCAACAGTCCAAAGCAGCCGGTCATACGATTCCGAACCGGATTCTGTGGATCACATGCCCAGTTTCGAATTCTATCCTATGATTGCTGGGCAGTGGGTGGATGAAACCATGAAGCACCTCCTGCATGAGTTTGCTGAAACAGTAGTGCTGCCATACGTTCGTCAGACGTATTCCTGTCCCGAGTGCGCTGTGGCCGATCTTCTTGTTCGACGGTATGTGGTGGGGGAGCGCCGGACACACCAATTGCACTTTGATTCTCACGCGTATGCTACTGTGGTGCTGGGGCTCAGCGATCCATCAGACTTTGAAGGTGGCTTGTACATCCAACCAGGGACACATGCCAGCACTCGTCAGTTTGTGAATTTGGAGCCTGGTGATCTGTTTGTGCATTCTTTTGACCTTCAGCATGGAGTTCGTTTGTGGAAGGGAACGCGACACAGTGTGGTCTTTTGGATCAAAACAAGCGCGAGGTCCATCACAAAAGGCACCACGCCGTGGTATAGCAAGGCAGCTGAAACTGGAGATCCGGATGCGCTGTTCAATTTAGGAGAACAATACCTCCATGGAACAGCCGGAATGACTATGAACCCGTCCCGGGCTGCAGCGCTTTATAAGCAGGCCGCTGAGTCGGGGCATCATGGGGCGCAGACGCACCTGGGGCTGTTGCTTGCAGAGACTGGAGGATCTGATTTAAGAGAAAGCGCAAAATGGCTCAAGTTATCAGCAAAGGCTGGCAGTGTACTGGGTCAGAAGAGTTTGGCTTTTGCATATGCAAATGGGAGAGGTGTGGAGCAGAATCTGACCCGTGCATCAAAATGGATGATGCGAGCAGCGCAACAGGATGACCTGGAAGCGGCATATGTACTGGGCACCATGTATTTGCATGGACAGGGGCTTCTAGATGGCACTTGGGAGTTTTCCGAAATTAGGGGATAATGGCAAAAAAAAATACTCAGGGTTCAGGGTTCAAGTTTCTAGGCGTATTACCCTCAGAATGCAGAATCAAATTCATACTCCTCAACCCTGACCCTTAAAACCTTAAACCCCAAAGAGTGGGTAGCGTTTTCATTTTCATTATCCCTGTATAATCCCCATTGGGGTAATACATCGCTGTTAACCCCCAAACCTTAAACAGACAAGGCTGAAGGTCAGTCCTGTGGATGCGAGCTACTGGCTGCGGCTTAGCGCAGAGGCTGGCTATGCCGACGCACAGCGAGAGATGCTTGGTCGTCAGAGGGCTTCATGGGAATCCCAAGAAAGCCCTCCAAAACTGGTGAGATGGGGTTGTATACGGGATCATGAAAATATCATGTCCAAACGGCTTGAAAGATGATTGCGAATGGGGTGTGAGGGGCTCAGTAGGCGACACAGATGCCCGTTTGGTGAATTTGGTTTACGTGTTGTGCTTCCCGCAGTTTATGGTGCTGTTCACTTTCACATTTAGCTGCTATGCTACCCGCTATAATCCCCGAGCTATGCAACAAACCGCAAGTTTTAGAGGTATTTGGGAGGGGAGCATTTCCAAACTGACGTTTGTTACTCCCAACACTTAATCGTTGCAAATCCGCTTTTGAGACTCCAGGAGAAACATTACTCGTTACTACCCCTACCTAACTCTATGTACCCTTAAGTAAGCCGACTCTCCGATTATGAAATCCCATGTCACGCCAAGAACTCCTTTAAAGGGACCCTTGCGCAAAAGCTCTTTTGAGCCTGTAGGATGGCGATGCTGGAAAGGAAGAATCGGACAGCCGCTGAGGCACTTGCTGGTTGTTCATAGGGAATGCAGTACTGGAGAAGCAAATGCAAACAACTTTTTAGGGTTTCGTGTTGGGGTGTTGTGGGATTTTCGGATTTAAAAGACAACGGAAGGTAATATTATGTTGCAGATGGTATAGGGGCTGCTGCTATGGTACTATAGGGATTCATTCCTCCTTTCCGTACTACTAGGAATTATCAACCGGTAGGGATCATTTGGGGAACATACGGTTTTGTAAGGCGATATATGGCAGTCTTCTCTTTCTTGGGATTTGGTTTAGCTTAGCAGTTGTATACCGGTATCCCCACTTAGTGATGTCCTCCCCTTGTGTTTCTTACCTCCGTCCAATTGCCAGGCTTGGCTGCAGTTGGCTGTCCGACAGGGTGACCCAGAGGCAAGAAAGCTTTTGGAAGGCTTGTCGCGGCAAACCAGGAAAACTGATCTTTGAGCAGGAACGCATGGGCAGCATTCCTGTCAACGGCATTTGTCCTGCAGCAAGGAGGTTCTTGCACGTTGGGCGCCACCTCAGCTAATCACCTCCGCGGAAATGGTGAACGCGGCGGTTCTGTCAGGTGTACAGTTGGCGCTGGGCCCGCGGGCCATGCGAGAATTGCCTTTTGGAGTTATCAGGGCGGGCGTTGCGGAGGGATGACGTTCAGTTTGCCCAGCACAGTGCTTTGTGGATAAGGCACGCCCGAGAAGGTACTGACACAAAACAAGCGCAAACTCAGCTGTACACGGATTTTCTAATTCGCTTGGTTTTCTGCATGGTGCACCTACAGTACATTCTTTGCGGCCAGAAATTTGGTTACAAACAACTTTGAGGAAGACCAAGTTTCCGAGCCGGAGAACCAAGAAGACCCCTATTTCAAGCAACTCACATTCACCAAAGCCAAGCTCGAGGTTGTCAAGAGATTCTTTGGAGGGCAGCCTGTACGGCAAGAGCTTTCATGAGGAACCGTGACATGCACAGTGATTGCATCATGCTTATTTGGATGATGGCCTGCGCGCGAAGCAGTTCCAATAAGGCTGAACAAAAAAGTACCTTTCCTTGCAAGCTGGCCGCCTGCCGCATGACTGATGGCGTTCTGGCATAGGAGCATTCAATTAAAGTGCCAGCAGCAGTCACTGTCAATCCTGCTCAACGTTGCCGACGCTTGCTGCTACCTCTCCTCCTCCTCCTCCTCCAGTTCTTCCCTGCTCTCCACTTGTAGCACTGGAATCGCCACAAAAGCTGTTGTTTTCGTTTTTGCTAGCTCAATGGTGACTTCACGCACATAACTACGTACACTACAGTACATGATATAACCAGGATGGCAGCGATCTTCGCTGGGCTTTGATGGTAGGTTGCGCTTTGATCTAGCCTGCTGGATGGTGCTGAGATTTGAGTGCTCAAGCGCACAGCTTGCCTAGGCATGTATTAGTGCACAGAAAACAGAGCAACAGAAGCTTGCAGCAGCTGAAGCCGCATGATTTCATAGGGGACACAAACGCAGAGTAGACTACCTGCGAGCTGTACTTTGAGGTGGCCCTTCGTGGATCCCAGTAGGCGATAATCCGAGATGGCGGAAAACCTGGGTTGCCTTACAGCCTACCCTCCAGAGGGCGTTGAGTGGGCCAACCGTTCCTTGTCTTTGGATGGCACTGTATCTTCCACAAACATCAAGGGGCCCATTCCAAGGGCCCATGCGTTAGCAGAGCATGTTTGTAAGGTGAAGCGGAGGGGTAGCTGGATGTCGTGCTTCTATTGCTTTTCCAGATTGTGTATATAACCCCGTCCCCTCAACATGGAGTGCACGCCTTCATTACGTCACGGTCCATACAAGTCAGTACGTGTGCGTCTACGTTTTGCCTGACATGCTGGTACTGATAGCTGGGTCGACCTTACACACGAGAATGTGAGCCTTCATGAAGACCTCTCCTTTCGTTCCTTCATTTCGATAAGTGTAATATACAGACTTCCGCCGAGGTTGGGCAGAGCTTGAAAATGCCTACGCCGAGTTGGAATCGCAGCGCGACTCCCTGCGGCACGAGGTGGATGGCTTGCGTCGCAAGGTCGATGAGAACCTTCAGGACTGAAGCGGGCTTGAAGTTGCACGCGTTCGTTTTGAAGGCTTGTGTTAAGCCCGTCAAGCTGGGTGTCCAGCGTGGTTTGAGTGAGATTCTTGCAGCGCGGTGCACAAACTCACGTGAGCGCTCGAATGGTCCTCCCGCCCAAAATATGTGCAGACCTTGCAGCGCTCACCTAGCACCAGCTGGCCCGAATGGAAGACTCCCCGTACTTCTTGTTGGGACCACATTCTACTTGGCTGACCATGCACGAATACCTGGACCATGAGCAAACATAGTTGCGCTGGATACAACTTCATCCAGCACCTGTAGGCTTTCTTCTCAGCGCAACTTCTATCATCGTGACATCCCACAGTCTAGGATGGTGCCACAGACTGCATTTTCAGTCCACTGGAACTTAAAACCAATAGAGCCCTACACAGGCCATAACACCCAACAAATCCTCATGGGGAGCCCTGAAGGATACCATTAACATACGAAAATGTCACAGCATGATGGGGGTCCTCGTTAGGGCATAAAGAGGTGATGTCTACACAAAAAATCCCATACTACCCAAATAACCACTATGTAATCCCAGTTTCCATTTCATTTTCCATTTTCTTTTCCATTTGATTCTCCATTATTGAGGTGTAACATTGGGTATCCCTAAATCGTTATAGCAACGGACCTGCTAACAGGAGCAGCAGCCCATGGTATCCCCGAGCGAGGAGCTCGAGGACCTTCGGGCACAGCTTCAAGAAGCCAAGCAGCAGGCGCCATGTGACCCATAGTCTAAACTCCTTAAAGGGGGGATATATAGGGGATTATATAAGGGACTACTATAGGGGTTACTAAGGGGATACTAGGAGTTTAGACTATAGCTCATGTAGAGGGGTTTTCTAGAGATAATGGAAAAGACAATGGAAAAAAACTATAGTATATGGGTTTATATATAGGGATTATGGAAAATCAAATGGAAACTACGAAGGAAACGCAAAAATTGGAACGGGGCTCTCGGGGGCGCATTATTTCTGTATAAAGTTACATGAACTGATGGTTTTCTTCATTAGGATCCTATTGTGGGTGATAGGGGAAGGGCTACACGTCACGGGCAGTATATTCGACCACGAGCATTCTATGCTTCCACTATTTGGACGAAAACTGTGTTTTTAGTTGCTAGCATGGCCATTTGATAACACCGGCTGCTGGGAAGTGTTCACAGAGTTCTGTTCCTAGCAGCACTTCCCGAAAGCCATTACCATTTCACGATCTTATACAAGGATGCTTTAGCATCCCCCATTGTGCGGTATAATGCTGATCAACGAAGTGCGGATGTACACTAAGCTTTCAGAAAATTCTAGCTTCAAAGCTTTCAGAGGCTCCCTGGAGCCTAAACGTTGGGCCGCTCCCCTTCACAGTCTTTGCAGAGGCTGTAGTGAGGGGCCATTATATAACTCTTATTACTTGCAGGTGTAACTGTTACTGTTCGGCAGCATAACCGAGATGAATTGCAAGGAACCTTCAGCTGGCTGCTTTCCCCCGCTCAAGCTTTATGTAGGGGCACCCACCCCACAATACGCAGCTGAGAATTCCCTTGCTAAACCCTATAAGCCCTAAACCCCTAAACCCTACACCCTTAAATCCCAAACCCTAAACTCCTAAACAGTAAACCTGAAACCCCTAAACTCTAAACTCCTAAAGCCCAAACCTTAATATCCCTTAAACCCCTAAACCCTAAACTCTACAGCCCTAGATCCTAAACCCCAAACCTAAAACCCCTTAAACCCCCTAAACCCTAAACTCTACACCCCTAGATCCTAAACCCCAAACCTAAAACCCCTTAAAGCCCCTAAGCCCCTTAACCCTAAACTCATAATCCTAGCCACAGGCAGATCTGAGACTGACAGAGGAGGTCCGCAAAGAGGAGAAGATCACTAGGTGGAGCCGGGTGGCCCTAGGGTAAAAGGGGGATTAATAGGGGTAATATTGGGGTAATATGAGCCATTGTCTAAACTCCTTAAAGGGGGTATATAGGGGATCATGTAGGGAACTACTATAGGAGGGATACTAGGAGTTTAGACAATGGCTCATATAGGGGCTATAGAAGGATAATGGAAAAGAACATGGAAACTACTATTTACGGTTTAATCATACGTGGTTTAGGGCTCAGGGTTTAGGGCTTAGGGTTTAGGGCTTCGGGTTTAGGGTTTAGGTCGTGCTGACCATAGATATTGGTTGGCTTCTCTGGAAAACCGTATATAACCCTAGCATCCATTCAATTGTCCATGGTTGTTTCCTTTTGGTTTTCCATTGTTTGAGCAATGATGATGGATATCAGGTTGAGGGCTTCAGGGGCTTCGGGTTTCAGATTCAGGGTAGGCCCTAAACCTTAAACCGGATTGAGTCAAGGGTTTGCAAAGTTTGGGAGCCTTGTGGCAGAGGAGGGTTCCTTTCTGGATGATTGAGAGATCCTTGGAGATCATGAGGATGATATGGGTAACATGGGCACGGCATGGGGCCATATTGCAAAGCACACTGGAGTTTGTTTGGAAAACGGACATGTGGGGATGACTGGACATCAAGAGGCTGATATTCAGTTGGTACGCTCGGCACGCTACGACGCATGAGCGTGATGCATAATTGGCGTCTACGAACTGCTTCGTGATTCAAACTTGAGTGTTTCCTGCTTGGAATGGTTGGGTTGATACAGCCACCCCAACAAAAGGCCCCCATCCGCATATCCCAACAGTACTACTGGGGCCCATATAAGAGCTGGGAGTCTCGCTTGTAATGTTTCAAAGTCGAGGCGCTAAACATGAATTCATGAAAAGAAAGATCTAGCATTTTGAAGTTGCAAATCGCGGGTGGTGCAACCAAATGGTCCCAAAAGCCACCAGATTTCCATGTTCCTATGCAGCCAAACTGGCAGTAACATCCAAGAGAGTATAAAAGAGTGGTCAGACTTTGTTGCTTCTTGCGCTTGTTTTGACCTCCCTCCTACATCCACTTTTTTCTAGGGGCACATGAAAGCTTCCTCGCTGGTAGGAGGCCAACAACGTCTGAATAACTTTTCTTTGCTTGTACGACGGTACGAGGCGCATAGTGTATTGTGCTTCTTACAATCTCTTTGCATACTTTCTCCCTTTGTTATGGTCATGGCATTGTCCCTTCAAATTCCCAATCTCCCTTCGAAATCCCATTAGGATCCTCATAGAACATACAGCTACTGCCAATATTAGGGTTTCCAAGGGACTATTGAGGGTCGACATAGCGGTCCATTGGATAGCTTGATAAAGTCCCCACACATTCTTTACATAGTTCGGACCCATGTCAAATGAATATATTGGAAATACTGCCTGTAGCTCATAAACCCTTTATCACCACAGCATTCTGTATTATAATCACTGGAAGCTCCCTCTCCCCCAAAAATCCCTAAATCCTAAACTCTTCCCTATCACAGGCTGGTGTTGGAGTTGGAGCAGCAGACTCTTCGCCTCTCAGAACTGAGCAAGCAGAAGTTCCAGTTGGAGTATGAGAAGACCAGGCAAGCTCAACACCCCTGGGGCTTAGAGTATGGGGGGATATATCGGGGTTTCCTTAAATTGGGGGGTGTATCATTTTAGGGTTTCTATAATAAGGATAATCGTATCTTGGGGTATATAATGGGGTCCCTAATTTAGGGAGAATGCCATGTAGGGTTTAGGGATTAGGGTTTAAGATTTGCCAAAATTAGGGGTACCTTTGTGGGGGGTCCCCATAAGAAACAGTAATATTTTCAGGTCTATTTTGGGGTCGCCCTGTTTTGGGAAACTACCACAGTGTGCATTAAATTTGGGGCGTTTTGGTTACCCCAACCCGCAACCCTCATAATAAGGATGTCGTAAGAGTCATCTCAGAGTGACGGGTTTCAAAATTGGGGGTTGGGGTTACCAAAAGTCCCTTGTTATGTATGGCCGAAAGTCAGAGCTGCTAGAACCAACATCCTGCAACCCTAAACCCATTGCTGCGACGAAGTCTACAGGACCGAGTCCGACATGCTGCCAATAACCGCAGCTCGCGATCGCCTCGAGCGCGAGAGGGAAGCACAGGACAAGCTTATCGAAGAACTGCGCAAGGACTGGCCCTAGTACTTGTACTGTTGCGTTTACTAGTACAGATTATTAGGATTGTTGTTATTTCTTATTTTTCTATTCTTGTTTTTTCTCATTATTATTACCTGACGGTCAGCTAAGTCTAAGTGCTTTGGAGCCGGGAGTCGCGCGTCAAGCTCAACACATGACTTCCGTTGGAAGCACCAACACCGTTGGCTACTACCAATTTATTTCACTTCATGTGGGTCTTTCTCGATTTTTTGCATGTAGAACCTCTGGTAAGGATCCCCCTGATGTTCTATGCATATTTAATTCCTCTAGATCCGTTGCGTTCCATATAAGGGCCCTTAATTTGAGAATGTATTCGCCCACACTCCCTACAACAGAGCAGTGGCTCGAGCCCGTCATTGCTGCAGCATATCTGAAAGTGCCCAGAGAACCAAAAAGGAATATACCTTAAAGTATACTAGGGTTCTTAATATGATGTAAGTAGTGTAACTCGAATTCTATTAAGTAGGATCCTGAGTATGATGTAAGTAGCGTACCATAAATTACAATAAGTAGGACCCTTAGTATGATTTAAGGTATATCCCTTCAGGGCCCTGGGTAAGTGCGCATTGTTCCGAAGTGCCTGGTACAATTCCTCAGTTCTTTGTTTCGAAATAGGGTTGCCTGAGGAGCCCTAGGAACTTTCAGGGAAAATGAGGAGATTAGCAGGGTCCCCTTGTATTGAAATCAATTTGAGAAACAGTTTCAACTGAGAGGACCAGGACAAGCTTTTCAACGAGAAGTACGAAATGGCGCGGAGCTTGCGAAGGGATTTGGAGGCTGCCCACAGTTTGATAACGGGATTTCGCGGTAGGTCTAAGAGACCTCAACGGTGCATCGGGTTGCAAAGAGGAGAGAGGATTCTGTAACGCTTGTTTTTGAGAAGCTCCCGTTTAATGTTAATTAAGGTTTTTGGAACAGTCTTTCCTACGGCTTCTTACGTAAGAATACTGGGCTGTGCATTTATGTGATGTCCTTTCGGGGGAGACTAAATAATTATGAGTACGGACCATGTGAGCTATGTGTGTGGTGGCTTTGCTTCTGCTGAAAACCAACGGTTGCGGTTCATCATTGCAAGGGTCGTCGTGTTGCTGAGAGTACAGAACCTCGTGTGCATGGGGTGTCGTTCAACACCGTTATCCTGCGATTTTCCTTCTCGCCCGCAGAAGTTGCATGGAGCTGCTAAAGCTATGTTGTTACCCTTTGCGACATGCCGTGAAAAAAAAAAACTGCGTTCTTCCAGCAGTCCCTTTTTTGAGAACGCCACACGCGGTAATTTCACAAAACACTGTATGCGTAATCCTTATGGGGCGGCCTCGCTCTAATCCAACTACGTCCCCAAAGTGGCTAGGGCATCCAGACACTGAGAAACCTCGTCCGCCGTTTTATATCAAGAGTCTGCAGGCAGCGCAGGCGGAGGTCAGATACCAGAAGAACATCGCGGAAGAAGCGCGTGAGGCCACTTTTTGCTAGTGCAATTCGCATTTCGGAAGTTCCCATGCCACGAACATGACAGACTATGTCGATTCAAAGTGATGCAGGGTGACTATACTTCAGAGAATTAGCCTAATTAGCATCGCAACCCTTGGGCTGGGTAGAATGAGTTTGCCCATGAGGGTGTTGACAGCGGTATGGCCTAGCCTTAGTGTTTCATTGTTTTTTTTGACGGATTCTTGTATTGACCCCCAACCCACGCCACTGTTCCCGGGTCATCCATGTTGCTTTGAGACGTAGTCATTGCATATCAACGCGTAGTTGGCCGCAATACTATGCAGTGACAAGGCCAACCCCTGCGAAGTCACTCAATCTCATGCGGCATCACGCAACCCCCCTCACACAAACGTGTAGTGTATAACGCACGAGAAGCTGCGACCTGTAAAAGCTTGGCTTCTGATGTTGAGGCGCAGTATCGGGAAAGGAAGCTGAAAGAGGAGCTGCAAGTTGACTTCGGAAGGTCTTCCCAAGCGAGTTAACGGCTTCTTATATACTTCCCGCGATCTTATGCAACCTCCCTGCCTTTCAAAAGGGTGTTTTATGAGCTCCCACGTTTAGCTTGGGGAAAGGTAAGGCATGTGTATACTTGATAGGCAGCATGCGTACGGGCGGCTGAGGAGTTTTGGGATGGTCAAGGAGCTTAGCACGCAGCGCCATCAAGCAGGATAGTCAATGGATATAATCCTGGCAATAGCTTTTAACCCCAATGAGATCCCTATGTCCAGTTTGTTTTCAATGGATTTCATCTTGCTTCCATTATGGAAATGCAAGGGGGCAATAGTCTAAACTGCTAGTATTCAGCTTAGTCACCCTTTCAATAGTCCCCTATCGTCCCCTACATACTGCCCTTATACAACCCCATTTAAGGAGTTCAGACTATAGCTCATAGGGGGTATGGCTTCAACCGTTAAGTCCCGCGAGACTAAGGATTCAAGGTTTGTGTGGCGACAAAGGCAGCGAGGTAAAAGAGAGCTGTTGATGTAGGGTTATGGAGATCATTCAAGGGGTAGATATGGTTATTTAGAGGTTATAGGGATATTGCCCAAATACATCCCAGAACCGAATGACCAGCTGATGGAACATGGAATGGACACTTTGCCTATATAGGGGCTGTATAGAGGCTTCTCGTAGGTAATTGCATGGGGGCCACTTTCGCTATCCAGCCCCTTACTGCCTGCAAGCTCCTACAATCCTCATCCCTGCAAACTTCAAAAGCATAACGCTACGCCCCAGAACCTGAAGCCCCAAACTTTACAACCTGTAAACCCCAAACCCGAGATCCGCATCAGCACCAGATCAGATCCCTAAGCCACCTGTTTGTTAATGGAAAGATGGATGCAACTGCCCTAAACCGCAAGTCCCTAAACCCTAAACGATCCACTAGGGGTTCACAAGGCCTACTGCTAAAGGGGTCCACACCGCCAGTCCCTGCAAACCCTGAATGCCAAACCCTAACCCTAAATCCTAAACCCCCAAACCCTGAAACCTAAACCCACAGACCCTCACACCTAAACCCTCACACCCTAAAGCCTAAACGCTCAAAACCTGAAAGCTAAAGCCTCAAACCCTTATGCCCTAAACCCTTAAACCCCCAAACCCTTAAACCCTCAATCTCACCTAGCCTGGTCCCCAGGCCTGACTGTCCCACTGAAACCGGTATTCAGAAACCTCTATGGCCTACGTGAGCTAGAGTCTCAAGTCCTTAAAGGGGCTATATAGGACATTATAGGGGTTATACAGGGTTTAGGGTTTAGAGTCTCAAGTCCTGAAAGGGGGTTATATAAGGCACTATAGGGATTATATAGGGTTTAGGGTTTAAAGTGTAAAGTCCTTAAAGGGGGTTATATTAGTGGATGATATAAGGGAATATTCGAGCTAGTGTTTATACTGTCATTGTGGTATAGCCCCAAAGAGATTATCAAAATATTCGTATTTCGATTTTAGGTCTAGTGGGAAATACAGATTAGGGGCCCCAAAATCCCAATTAATGAACCCCAATTAAGGGTACTACTGTAGCAGCTTCTTGGTCAGTAAGAGGACCTTCAGATCGAATTGAAGGAGGCAAGGGCAGAGTTTGCCGACAAGCAGGCCACCCTGGAGGACGGACACCCCCCCCGATGTAGACGATGTAGGGTTTCTATAGGTTTTGAGGTGCAAAGTTATCAAGCTGACAGAAATGTAGGAGTGGGGTGGATGGCAGGGTGTTAGGCACAGGGTTTCATGCTAACGGTTTGGAGGTTTGCGCTCTGTTTCGAAGGCTTAGCATTTTGTTGTAGCGGATAATGGGTTCAGGCGCGCGTTTGGTTTGTGCATCACCGACACTTCACCTTGAACAGTTTGTTTCTAGGATGGGCTGGTCTGAGTGGGATAGGCTCCCTGCCAGTACCTACATGAAGATCCTCCGGCATATTGGTGAGTGTATGCATGAGATGTCCTTCGTGAAGAGACGGGAAAACAGAATCTTACCTCCGATACCACTTTGATAGGAAGTTTGCTTGGAGGGGTCCTGGAAACATTGTCATCATCAAGGGAAGCCGGTAGATTGGACTGGTGCAGGAGAATTGTCGCATCAAGCAAGAGCAGCTTGACCGCACAACTCGCCATTGGCAGACGTGCAGAGTTCGCGGCTCAGAAGGTTTGCCGGCAACATGCATGAAGTTGTGGGGCCATGTTCTGTTTTGGATGCAGTAAACTCCGGGCATGGGACAATCATGCAGGCTCTGAATACACCAGGTGGAAAGAATACGTTTGGCAGTGGTTTGTGGCAATAATTTCAGGCACAGAATCTGAGGCTTGCTTCTCGTTCTAACACCAAACCTTAAACCCCAAAAAGCTAAGCGTGGATTTTGAAGCATCCACACTTTTCAGGTTGGACCCATGCTGTTCGCACCGAGATTCTTTCGGGGCTTGTTGGCCATGCGGTTTAGGGTTCAGAGTTTTTGGTTCAAGGTTTAGCGTCCAGGCTTCATGGCTTATGCTGGATGTGTAGGAGAACTGATGCCCTGCTTGCATGTCATGAGACCCCAAATCCCGTGAAACCTTTGAAACCACGATCAGCTCTTACACCCTTAGCCCTAATCCCAAACCCTAGACCCCTAGACCTTTAGCCCCCAAATCCCAAATCTCACACTTTGAACCCCAAATCCCTAAAACCCTAATTATCTTTATGCACACTTACATATTCCTATACAACCCTATAGAACCCTCCCTTCTCTCCAAAGCTACAGGAACAGCTCGACGAGGCCGTGCGAGGGCTGGAGCAGGGTGCCGAAGCGGAAAAGCAGAGGAGTCCCAGGGAGTTAAGGGGGTTAGTTTAGGGTTTTGGGTTTGGGGGGTTGGGAATTTTGGATTTAGAGGTTTGGGGGTTGGAGATTCAGGGTTTGGGGATTTCTGGGTTTGGGGTTTAGAGCTTGCAGTCTGCTGAGGGTTTGGGGATTTAGATGGGGGTTTGGAAATTAATTTAGGGTCCAAGGATTTAGGGTTTAGGTATTGAGGGTTTGGGGGTGTAGGGTTCAGGGCTTGGAGTTTG